TGTATTTTAAATATTTTAACAATTGATATTTGTACAATTAATTATTCATATTTATTTTCTTGAATGTTTTAACGCACTTTCATAGGTATTATCTATTTACGATCTCATCTGAACAAATATCTATCGGTCGATCAGTTTGGCAATGTGCTGTGCGAGAGCGAGGAGCGCGATGCAGGCAGTCGCTTTCAGATCAGCATCAGCGAGGATGGCAGCGGTCGTTGGGCATTGAAGAATGAGTCGCGTGGCTATTTCTTGGGCGGCACACCCGACAAACTCGTCTGCACGGCCAAGACGCCCGGCGCCAGCGAGTTTTGGACGGTTCACTTGGCCGCCAGGCCCCAAGTGAATTTGCGTTCGATTGGACGCAAACGATTCGCGCATCTATCGGAATCGCAGGACGAGATACATGTGGATGCCAACATACCGTGGGGCGAGGATACGCTCTTTACTCTCGAGTTTCGCGCCGAGGAGGGCGGCAGATATGCCCTGCACACGTGCAATAATAAGTGAGATATTCCAGCGGAATATCTAGATGCCAAATCTCTAATTTGTGATCTTGTCTTTAGATATCTTAATGCTAATGGCAAGCTGCAGGTGGTTTGCAATGAGGATTGTCTGTTCAGTGCTGAATATCATGGCGGGCATTTAGCTCTGCGCGATCGCCAGGGACAGTATCTATCGCCAATTGGCTCGAAGGCTGTATTGAAATCACGCTCCTCAACGGTCACCCGTGATGAGCTGTTCTCGTTGGAGGATTCCTTGCCCCAGGCCTCGTTCATTGCTGGGCTCAATTTGCGCTATGTGAGCGTCAAGCAGGGCGTCGATGTAACCGCCAACCAGGACGAGGTCGGCGACAATGAAACCTTCCAGCTGGAATATGATTGGTCGGCGCATCGTTGGGCATTGCGCACCACACAGGATCGCTATTGGTGCCTGTCGGCTGGCGGCGGCATCCAGGCCACTGGCAATCGTCGCTGTGCCGATGCCCTCTTCGAACTCATCTGGCATGGCGATGGCTCGCTTTCGTTCCGCGCCAACAATGGCAAGTTCTTGGCCACCAAACGATCGGGCCACTTGTTTGCCACTTCCGAATCCATTGAAGAGATTACCAAATTTTATTTCTATTTGATTAATCGGTAAGGGCATCATGAACTCAGTCGATCTATCATCATTTAATCTATTGCTGGTTTTAGGCCCATTTTGGTGCTGAAGTGTGAGCAGGGTTTTGTTGGATATCGCACGCCTGGCAATCTGAAGCTGGAGTGCAACAAGGCCACCTATGAGACCATTTTGGTTGAGCGTGCACAGAAGGGCATGGTTCATTTGAAGGCGCACAGCGGCAAATACTGGCGCATTGATGGCGAGAGCATTTCGGTGGATGCTGATGCGCCCACCGACGGTTTCTTTTTGGAGTTGCGCGAGCCAACACGAATTTGCATAAGGTAAACTATCACAGTTTATAAAAGAAAAAACATTTAGAAATTCCTAATCTAACAGCAAAAACCAGTTTCGAATTATAATTAACGGTCACATTTAACATTCAGTGCGCAGACAAGTCCACTGTTATGGCTAAATTTCCAATTGGAATTTAGCGGTTCTGTAACGAGCTAAGCGTTTGCATTGCACTGTTAGTTGTGTAACCTGCAGAGTATTCTGTTGGTTAACAGTCAACTGCTAATAACATAAGTGCACTACCTATGCATATAAGAACTTTTACTTAAAAGGCTTTTAACTGTTTTTTAACGAATATATAAATTAACTGTTATATATTGATTTAAATGTTGACAATTCGTTTCGTTTCAGATCCGAAGAAGGCAAATTTTTGGGTGCCACCAAAAATGGTGCATTTAAGTTGCTGGATGATGGTTCCGACTCTGCCACACAATGGGAGTTTTAGATTGCAGATGCAGATGCAGATGCAGCACGTGTTTGGCAATTGCAACATTGATAATCTTACGGCAAAAACAACAACAACGCGTATCAATTTTTAGAATTTTAATAACGTGTCGACTTAGTCCAAAACAAACAGAAATCCAAGAATTTTCGAACGCAAGAAACAGAAAAGTAAAAAAAAAAAAAATTAAATTAAAGAAAAAACAAAAAAAAAAAAAAAAAAAAAAAGTCGCACAAAAATATATCCTACATGCGTATTCAAAGCGGAATCTTAAGGATAGGAGCATATTTATACATAAATATAAAAGAGATTTTTTTATAAACAAACCTATTTAGCTTTTTATACGTTTTTACAAGAACAAGAAACAAATCTAGCGTAGAGGAAACAGCAGGAAGTGGAAACCAATTTTGTCGCAAGTCCTTCCGTTTTTTCAATATCAGCAACAAGCAAATACAAATTATATACAAAATTTAATAAATTTGCGATCATATATGAAACATGCAAAAAAAAATTTATATATATACAAATATATATACATAATTATATTTATTCGATTTGTACTGCTTTTTGAAAACAAAAAAGGGCCGCTTAACTTAAAAACAGAAAAAAATTAATTAAATAAAAAAAGCTTAAAAAAAAAACAACAAAAAAGTTGCTTAAAACCAACACATATTCCTATAAATTTATTTATATATTTATACATATTGAAATATGAACAATAATACATACACAGACTCAGATACACACACACACAGTCACAGATACACATATACACACATTCACGCAATTTTATTATATGCAAAACTTAGTTTTAAGCGCAATAATAATATAATAAAAAAAAAAACTAAAAAACTAACATAAAAAAAAAAAAACTTTGATACCCGCAAAATTGCAATATCCGATTTTTAAGCTAACCTACGTAACATTATAAAAAAAAAAACATATACATATGTCACTTGTCATTTTTTGTTACATATTTATTCTTATTATTACATAATTTAATTATACTATTTTTTGCTGTCGCACGTTTTATATCTTTATATAAATAATGTTTTTTTTTTTTAATTGAATCAATTTGTCACTCAAAGAAGAAAATCAACTAAAAAATCTGTCAACTTAGTCGCTTAAACTGAAAAGGATAAAAATAAACAGAAACGGAAATTATGTATGATAAATGATATAATATGAAATATACATATATATAACATACCTAAAATATGGCTAAATTTGTATTTGGAATTTTTGGTACAATTTTTGTTTTCAGCTCTGACGTGAGGACGTCATTCGCCTGTTTTCGTGCAATAGAAAAAAGTTTAGCATTTTTTATGTCCTTTTAGTCTACATTGAAAATGGCCGAAAAGTATGTGCACTCATACATACACACGGAGAGAGGGAGAGCGAGAGAAAGCAAAAACAATGTTACGCGATCGAATAAGCTAAGTAATGACTCTCAGATGGCAGGTTCGCTGAGAGCGCTAACGATTAAGAGAGCCTAGCAAACACGACGATGGAATGGAACAAATATACACATATGTATGTAGCTTTCTTCACTGCGTATGTATGTGTAAAAATGTTGCCAATGCAGCCCAATTGAAAAATGAAAGTCTGAATTTATTTCAGATTTTAAATGTATGTATACACATACGCATATATATATTTATTATACATATATTATGTGTACATATGTGTTGTTGTGGTAGGTATATTTGCATCGTTCCATTACATTAAACTTATAATTTCTGTTTTTTTCTCTGCTTACATTATACTGTAATATGTGTGGGTGTGTGTTTATAAATATATATATATATGTATATATATGTGTGTGTCGATGTGAGTGCATGTGCAAACACACATACACTCAGAAGACAGTACAGGACTTGTCCAATTTGCTACCTTTTAAAAGCGTCACATTCTTTAAAATAAGACAAAATTAATATTTTATTTAGAGTATGAGTACATGTGCACACACATTCATGCACATATCTATGTATACATATGCATGTGTTCGTACATATATTTTGTTTTCTGTTCATTCCTCTTCGACTGTTATTCGTCTGCATCTGAGATTAAGAATAATTCATGACCACGCACACTCTCACACATATCGATACTTGCATACAAATGCATGTATGTTTATGTGACCCGCCCTCCCCCAAGATCTGACAGCTCTTCCTCTTCACGTTCCGCAATTCGCATAATTAAAATACAAATACAACTACATACATACATCAATTTTGGTTTACCAAGAATTTAGTTAATCAATTATCAAGATTCTAAATTTGTTGATTTTTCAGTTTCGATTTGTTTTTCTTGTCTTTACAATTGTCGTTTTTATTTATGTCATCGATCAAACGTTATTATTTAACTCACTTAATTGCACGTACAATAATCATATTAAATCCTATTTATAATGTGGATTTCTCATTTATAACTTAGTTGCATTCTTAATATGTTTGTTTTTTCTTCTGTTCTGTTTTGTTTTCTTTATTGCGTTGTTCTCTCTGCTTTTGATTGTTGTTTATCATTTGTCGAACATCTGTTATTGTTATTGTATAGAACGAAATTTGAAACCTGGCTATGTGTGTGAGTGCAGCTGATCGTTTTATTTGTGTGACAATAAAGAATAATAAAAAAAATATATAAGGCTTTCTTTTGTAATAAGTTCTTGCTGTTCCGGTTGCAGTTTTTGTACAAAAGCAAACTAGTTTTGGATAATTAGCATAAAAGTAGTGAAAACACGCGGCCATCTTAAACTAAAAGAACTTGTAAAAATAATATAATTGTTTTAAAATTTAATGTTTAATTTAAATTTATAAAATGTATATAAGGTATATTTTCAATATCTGCATGTGGCCATTTTGTTGTGCACAATTACAACGTAATTACATAGTATTAAACTTGTTTATCTTTCTCTTAAGGTGTGTGTGTGTCTGTGTATGTGTGTGTGTGTGTGTGTGTGTCTGTGTATTGCCAATAGCGCTTCTTCGCTGTCCTAATCGAATAAATTATGCTATGCTAAAAGTGGGCTACAAGGTTTTTCATTTTTCACTTAGCACTTAATAATATGTATGTGTTTTTTTCATTTTCTTTTTTTTTTAAATTTATTATAAATTGTAGGTATAAACTTTTTGCTAAACGAAGAAAAAAAAAAAAAAGGTTTATATATATGTAGTATCCTTTTATATGGTAAAAAAAATAATAATAATTGTAATAATAACCTATCAAAATAATTGATTTTTGTAAGACGTACAAAATTATGTTCTCCGGCGGCGCTAACACATACATTCTCGTACACGTAAACACACAGCATGTGTGTGTGTGTACGTGCATATATATATGACGGGGTGTGTGATTGCTTATATAGTTATATATTTATTAACATTTTTCACTTATATATATATATGTGGGTGTGTGTGTTTGTATCCCTCTCTCTTTGTATTGTTGTTGTCGAGTACAGTGGGAGAGCGCAGGCGACACTACATTGCTGGCAAGTTAAACTTCAGCGTAGTGCACAACACTCCTATAAGCATTACAATAAAAATTATATTTGTTTACATACAGATACATATATGTATGTACATATGCACATAAACATATACTTAGTGTGTGTGTGTGTGTGTGTGTGTTTGTGTTGGTGTTGGTGTATGTGCAACTAAAACAAAAGCTACCAAAATAATCCACATCAAATATGTGTATCATTCTGCCTTATTCCTTCCTCCATGTCTCTTCGTATATGCATTCATTTGCATAAGCCGATGATAAGGAGGTTTGCCAATCCGGAGATGCGTTCCATGTTGCGGCGACTTTTTCTATAATGTATCTGGGTGCGTGAGAGGGAATAGTGTATGAATTTGGTTGGTCTTCGCTCTCGTAGCTGCTTTCCTGTTCCGTTTTGTTTTATGAGTTTGTGGATGTCGTTTTAGTTACATTTTGTTTTTCTTTGTTTGGTTGTGTTAAAAACAATTATTTAAAAACGATAATTCTCGTCCGCCATATGTATGGCCCACAGAAATTTGGTTCTATGCGTTTTATTAAAGATTTTCTCAATCGGTACGCCATACTTTTTACACCTGAACAATAAAAGATAGAGGGAGAGAGACATATTAGCATGCAACTCCCAATCGGCCTTAAAGATAGTTAGTGAGTTTATTTACCAGGCAACTGTGATGCGTGGATCGAGATAATTTAGTTTGGATGTGCCCAAGGCAATGGTCTTATTCTCGTCTCTATCAGTCTCTTGTAGTTCTAATTTTTTCAGTTGATCCTTCAAACGTTCCAGTTGTTTGCCCTTCTTATCGGCATTAAGCTTCTCTTTGACGGAACCACGCTTAGCCGCCTTTCTCAGATCCTGTTTAAAGAAAATTGTATATAGAGTATGATTTGAATTGAATAACATTGATAATAATGTCCATCATCACTTACATGATATTCGGATTCGCATTCATCAAGGGCATACCGCTTGGCCCGAATCTTTTCCTTTAGGTTCTCCATTGACTTCTGATGTCCTTTCGGCACGGATCGCTGATGGTTACAGAGGATGGCCACCGCACGATTAGCGCGATTATAGGTCAACAGCTTCTCGGCAACCGAAGCGTTCGGATCAGTAAGCAGATCCAATTGGTTCTGCAGCGTTTTCGATGCGTTATATGTACGAAATACTTTTGCCGTGAGACCTGTCAATCGAGTCCAAATATGGAATAGTTAAGTAAAAGACCTTGGGCAATATTTATATAATAATCGAATCCAAATTACCTTCCATCAACTCTTTGAGATGCTCATTTAGCACTTGGGTATTGAGGCGATCGAATAGATCATCGCCGTCCTTCTTGTTTTCCATGAACAGTTCGAGATTTTTGAAGACGCGCTTTTCCACCTCGACCTCGTTGTAGTAACGTATGGAATCCTTACCAGGAAAATCAAATACGACCACATTCTCTTTATTATTGAGCTCCTTGTGCAGCTGCACATGCTCCACACGCAGCGAACAGCAGCCAACGGTATCGGCTTGATCCTCATCCTTCTCATTACCCGCTCTCAGCGCGAGCTTATCAATGAAATACAAAGCAACGGCACGTTGGCGGACACGCATCTCCTTCGACTTCCATTCGTCCCGATAAGTGGCGCGTATTTTGTCAATGAACTTATCCAGCCGGCGGGCTGTCTCATATTTAATATGATCCTTCTCGCCCTTTAGCTTGGACGATGGATTCAGCATAATGTATTTCACCTGGCCCTGCACGTTCTCTGTCCAGGATGCTAACCATGTAACGGTATTGTCGTGACGCACTTCTTTCCAGCGCTCGCCTGGCGGTGGCTGTGGCACCTTCGAGTTCTTGCCACAATTGATGGATACATCGCGGGCCGCAATTCTACGCTTGATCATACCCATCTTTGGATGCTCGCCTCGACCACGAAACAGACCGGGCGGCTCCAACCGAAAGTTGCCGATCTTCTCCTTGTGACCGTCGATCATGCAGAAACCATATTCTTTGATTAGCGCCTCGCTTTCAACTTTTTTCGCGAGCTTCTCCTCTTTTGTGGCCGCCTTTCGTTTCTCAGATTCAGCCTGGAAGTATTCAAACATTTCTTGGAAATTGCATTTGCGAAAATCTTTAATGATCTCCTTCTCCTTGGGTGTCATTGTCTTGCGGAAATCCTTAAAGAAATTGTTATTGAATACGTCCTTGGTGCAATAATCGTGATTTAACATCTTTGCATAAAATGTGGCCGCCTCCTCGGTCTCCTCGCTGAGCTCCATTGGCTTGCCATCGTAAAAGAAGCGCACATTTCGGGGCACACGCTCATAGGGTGGTGCGAAGACGGGTCCCTTATGCTCCAGTGTTGTCCATTTGACACCATCCTCACGTTTCTCCTCTTCCCACCTTGAAATAGTGGAAACACGTTTTGTTTGAATTTTAGTTTTCTTAACAATGCCGTTATTACTATTGTTGTTCTTCAAGTTTCTATTCTCTTTGCTGGAATTCGTTTTAATACTAGCAGCAATTGTAGCGTATCGTTGTTGCTGTTTAAATATAACGTGAAATTCACGTTTTGCCGCAAACAACGACAGTGACAGCAAATTTGTTGCCATTTGCCATTTGCGCTCACATAACGCATCAAATGAAAATGAAAGAAAAAAAAAAAAAAACGAGTATCGGACATAACCACAATCTATTTGGCTGCACAGCTGTTGCACGCGTATCGCGGTGAATGGTCAAAAAGATTACACACTCATCGCCCCAGTCGTGTCACTGCCAAATGTGACTTTCAAAAAATAAATAGGTCAGTGACATTCAAAATTCATACACACACACACACACACACTCGCGTAAGTATGTAAATTGTTAATGTTAATCTCTTTAAACTAACGCAAAAGAATTTGCCTTTTACACTCTCGTTTGTAAACTAATTTCAGCTTGTGGAATTCCAGGGTTATGAATATTTTTTAAAGAGCTGACCTAACTATCAGTCGTAGTTTGTTATCCTCATACTATAATTAATAAAGAGTTATTTACCATCTCCACACTTCCTCTTCTTCCTCCTTTTTGTCTTTCCGCGAACGCTTCGTTGGGGACGTTTGGTTGGGTTCTTGCTTGATCTCAGATTCCTGCATGATATAATTGAAGACGTTTAATAAATCATTTACTATTCATTTATTTTTGTTTCCTTTTGTTTACCTTTTTAACCTTTTTCTTTTTGGGTTTCCCGCTGCCGTATTCGTCATCTACCTCCATCTTGGGGCGTTTCTTTTTATTTTTCTTGTCCTTTACTTCTTTTTTCATCTTCTTGCGCGCAAGCAACGGAATGTCTTCGTCGTCATCGTCTCCATTTCCGTCCATTTCATCGGAGGGTTCTTGTTTGCGCTTTCGCATTGCCAACGGCATATCTTCATCTTCGTCCTCGCCTTCGTTATCAACATTCATATTGCTGTTGTTATATTTGTCAGTATCGTTGTCATTGTCATTATCATTGTCATCATCATCATCCTCCGTATAAGTGGCCTCCTCTTTAGTCACAAACTCTGGCTCATCGGATCTGAACTGCGACATGGAGTAATCACAGGAACTGGCCTGGGACAGATCAAAGTTATCATCTTCCTTCTTAACATCGACAATGTGTTCTTCGTAGCCATTTTTGTAGCCATTGCATTCTGATTGCAATTGCTGCTGCAGCTGCTGCTGCTGTTGCTCTTGCAACTGCTGCTGCTGTTGTTGCAGCTGCTGTAAGTGTTGCTGCTGCTGCAATTGGAGCTGCTGATGCTGTTCCTGAAGCTGTTGCTGCTGCTGCATTTGGTATTGCTGCTGCTGCAGTTGGAGAAGCTGCTGCTGTTGCAATTGCGCCTGCAAGGGATCAGCGTGTGGCTGTGAGACGGGCTCAGGCTTAACGAATACACCATCATAGGCAGGATCTTTCGAGGATGAGCTATGCCTAGAACTTGAACTGGAATGTTTGCTTTTCAATGATGATGATGATGATGACGACGAGCTCTTGTGCCGTGAGCTCGAAGACGACGACGAAGACTTGTGTTTATCTCGACTGGAGGAGCTGCTGCTGCTGCTGCGATCCTTATCGCGGCGTTCCTTGTCCTTGGAGGACGAGCCACTACTGCTGCTTATGCTGCTGCTCTTATGATGATGGCTAGACGAAGACTTGTGCTTGCCGTTTTTATCGCGATGGCTGGACGACGATGACGACGAAGAGCTGCGATTTGAGTTACTGCTATCTCGTTCCTTATCCCTATGCTTGTCCTTGCTACTCGAAGAGCTGCTGCTACTCTTATGCTTATCGCTGTAAGCAAACATTGATACACAACATATTACAGCTAAAGCAGATCAATCAACAGATATTTTCATATTGGAGACTTACCGACTGCTGCTACTGCTGCTGCTTCCGCTTTTATGTTCCCTAGACGACGAGCTGGAGCTCTTATGCTCGCTGCTCCGTTCCCTATCACGATGCTTATCCTTGCTGGATGATTTATGTTTACCGCTGCTGCTACTGCTGCTGCTTTGATGGTGGTGATGGTGTCCATTTGTGGTTACACCATTCGATTGCACTTCGCAGCTGCCGCCATTTTGCACGTGTATATTCTGCAAACACATAAAAAGAAGAGAGCACGTTAATCAAGGGAAAGAAACAAATGCATGGACTAATAAAGATACGGATTGAAATACACACAGCTAAACGAAAATGCATCTTATGGACGTATCAATTTTGAGACTCTGCGGAAATATTTAGAACATTTTGACTAATCTTATAAACCTAATTGTAACACGCACGCATACACACACACACACACATACACACTCTTTTATACACATCTATACAATTGTGAAAATGTCTGTCTATAACTTACAAAGAAATGAAGTATTGACTACCTGTGTGATCGAATGTGTACATGTGTATAAATGTGTGTATGTGGCTATGTTTGTGTGTGTGACACATTTAAGTAGCAACTCTACAAGTCAATTGTCAATGATTTACAAAACTCTTTATAGACGTGTGTGTGTGTGTTCATATGTAAGTGGAGATTGACACACCACACCATACCACACCACCACGTGGTGAAAAATCAACCCTAACAAATTCAAATATCTTGTACGAAGAAAAAAAAATTGAGAAGGTAAGAAGAAGAATATGCCAACGTAAGTTGACAGGATTTGGATTGGGGGGCGGGAAGTGAGTAGACTATATAGTAAATGACAGCAGTACTCATGTTTCTGGTGTTTATTGCTCGTACATTCTGTCAAGCATTATTTTCAATGTAAGGTGTAACAGCAGCAGCAACAGCAGTAGCAGCGGCGGCGGTGGAGGCGGCAGATCAAGGCTGTTTTTTTATTTGTGTGCTTGTGTATATGCATGTATGCACACACATGTGATTACTTCGGCACCCCGCGCAGTGTGACCACATTTGTACAAACATCAAAAATACACAAAATACTACAACCGAATTCAACAAATGCATTCCATTCGAATTTGTTTTTTAAAAAACCAAAGCACTTTTTATGTATCTTCAAGTGTTATATTATCTTTTATTATTATTTGCATTAATGTGTTGTACGATTGAAATTGGTTTGCAAAAATTTCTATATGTGAAATAAACACAAGGTCGATAAACAGCTGTAAAAATAAAAACAAATAAATTGATATTGCATACTTTAGAAAACAATGATTGTTCACGTAAAATACCATACTAGTATTTAGAGCAGCGAAAATCGGTCACACTGTGCCAAATACACATTGTCGTTGCCGTCTCTCGTCGTTTTCATACTGCCTGCCTGTCTCTGCCTGCTACTACTTGCATGCATTGTCGCCATTTTCGTAAATTACCAAAAGGCCTTTTACTCTTCATTGCAATGCGACTACGCATGATTTAGGTGCAGGTCGGTCGAAACTTGCACTGGTTGCAAGTACTTATGCATTTGTGCATGCGAAAATTAACAGCACACTTGCCCCTTTCGTCACTTCACTTTGCTAAGCGGATGAAAATTACATAAAAATAAATACGTCTCAAAATTACTTACATTTTCAGCAGCCACATCCCCACTCATTTTGCACAATTTCTCAGTTGGCAGTCCGGCGCTTACGGCTTTTTTCCCAACTTCACTTTACAATTTTTTTTTTAAAATATTTTCTACACTTTTATATATTGTAGTTAGTATTATATGTCAGTTGCCAATAGCCGATACATGCGACTGCAACTACTTTTTGTGTCTCCGCATTTACTGCGCGATACTACAAAATGATATATTTTTTTTTGCTAAGTCCCCAAATATTACACTTAGAAGAGTCTCTTTTACAGCGCGCAGCGGCCACGCGAACACGTTCGTACCAAATCTACTTCGAACTGTATGCTGTTTCGAGATGTGCACATTGCACGCTAATAATTTCCGATAGTTTTCGAAAACAGAGTATCGATATCTGACTGCTGACGCATTATTTTAGTATTTTTAGTTTTCTTGCAAACGTTTTTTCGGTGCACACTGTTGGAAATTCACAAATTAATATACAATAGCATTTATTGTAATCAGAAGAAATAAGTCAAATAAAATAATAAGTTGGAAGTGAAATGGCCAGTCGTGGTGCAACTAGTGTAATCACCGCCACGACTGGCGTCGTCCATACCAGCCTAACGTCAAGCTCAACGGTAACGGCAACAGCATTGCAAACAATCACCAACGTACTTACTGTCAGCTCAGTGCACTCCAACAACGTGAACATCTCGAATAATACGCACAGCGGTAACCCAGCTGCCGTTGCCACTGGAAACGATGGAACCGATGGCGAAGCTGCTAAGCCCATGTATCCCCGTCTTTTCAACAAAATTGTGCTAACATTGGAGAACAGCTTGATCCCTGAGGAGAAAATTGATGCGACCCCATCCAGTCAAGATGGACTGGATCTTGAAACAGAAAAGGATTTGCGCATCCTTGGCTGTGAGCTAATACAAACGGCGGGCATACTGCTACGTTTGCCCCAAGTGGCCATGGCCACTGGCCAGGTGCTTTTCCAGCGCTTCTTCTACTCGAAGAGCTTCGTCCGTCACAACATGGAAACCGTGGCCATGAGCTGTGTCTGCCTTGCCTCCAAAATTGAAGAGGCGCCGCGTCGCATTCGCGATGTCATCAACGTCTTTCATCACATCAAACAAGTGCGCGCTCAGAAGTAAGTCGAGACAGTAAATAGCTTTCATTTTATATTTAACATTGATTTACATCTGCTTCGCAGGGAAATTACGCCCATGGTGCTGGATCAGTACTACACGAATCTGAAAACACAGGTGATCAAGGCGGAGCGCCGAGTGCTTAAGGAATTGGGCTTCTGTGTGCATGTCAAGCATCCGCATAAGCTGATCGTCATGTATCTGCAAGTGCTGCAATACGAGAAGCATGAGAAATTGATGCAAATGTCATGGAATTTTATGAACGATTCGTTGCGTACGGATGTGTTCATGCGCTATACGCCGGAGGCGATTGCCTGTGCGTGCATATACTTGAGTGCACGTAAGCTGAATATACCGTTGCCGCATAGTCCGCCGTGGTTTGGCATCTTCCGTGTGCCAATGGCCAATATTACGGATATTTGTTATCGGGTGATGGAGCTTTATACGCGGGCCAAGCCAGTTGTGGAGAAGCTGGAGGCAGCTGTCGAGGAACTGAAGAAGCGTTATATTGATGCACGTAACAAGACCAAGGAGGCGAACACGCCTCCAGCCGTAATAACGGTAGATCGCAACAATGGCTCGCACAACGCGTGGGGCGGATTTATTCAGCGTGCCGTTCCGTTGCCAACCGGGAAGTCGCCGAAGAAAGACTCACGTTCCCATTCGCGCTCACGCACACGCACGCAGTCACGCACGCCACGTTCTCGGTCGCGCAGCCACTCGCCGAGTCGCGAGCGTTCCAAGAAATCGCATCGAGATCGCGATCGTGATCGTGAACGCGATAGGGATCGTGACCGTGATCGTGACCGTGACCGGGAACGCGATCGCGATCGGGACCGCAGTCGCTCGTCCCGATCACGTTCACGATCATTGCCCAAGCACAAAAAGAAATCGCGCCACTATTCGCGTTCGCTGACGCGCTCCAGCTCGCCGCACAGCAAGCATCGCAAGAGGTAAAGCTGCATTAGCTATAAGAGATCTATTATATGCATTGATCGTGTCTTCTTGACTTTCACAGGAAATCATCAAGAGATCGCTCCGATTATTATGTAAAAAAGGAACGCTCCAGCAATCCGGGCAACAGTCTAAGCGACAGCGATAAGTATCGTAATTCGAGTTCAAATTCCGGAAAGTCTCACAGCCGCTACTCGCATCGTAGCAGTGGCGGAGGTGGTGGCGGCAGCGTAGGCAGCGGTGGAGGAGGCAGCGGAGCTGGTGGCGGACACAATAACCGTGGAGGACACAAACATCGCGATAGCGATCGTTCCAGAGATCGCAAACGTTGATTAAAATAACAAATTCTATGCCTAATTGTAACAGAAAGCGTTTTCATTTTTTTTTTTTTTTTTTTTTTTTACATTTTACATTTCTATTTATTTCGATAAAAAGAGATTTATAACTTGGAGTTTCACTGTAAAAAAAAAAAAAATGAAAATCAAATTGATAACAAATAAATGTAAAAAACTGTATATGTGCATAATATATTTGTATATTATATATTCGATGGAGGAGAAGGAAATAGAGAGAAACGCTATTTCGCCTGTAATACTAGACTTGCACTATATCACAGTTAAGCGCATTACAAAAGCGAAAGTTTAGCACCTTTGCTGGCAAGTATGGGACACATAAAAAAACCATAATTAGCAAACAATTTGAGGTGATTGGAATTTTGCCGAGTGCTGTTTGAAATTCAGTTTTAACTCGAGTGCAGATTTATTATACATTCATTTTCAGTTGACTGAAGCAGTCAAACATTAAATACTCGATCTACCTCCATGTATATTCATATGTATTCCATTAGGGACAGCTGATATTGATTAAAATCCTACACTACATATTGGTACTTAAGCAATAGGGGATAGCAGTTTGCATATCCTATGTAGAGCATATCCTGTGGATTCAGTGGCCCAGTCGTGACTGAGACTGCGACCCACTGTCGAATCTTCAGATATCTGCATGCACTATATAAATCGTAATCCGAAAAAAATGAATGAATCATCTACACGTTCATAGTGTAAGACATCAATGAAATTTGCGGATGCTGTAGCGAAACATCACGGAACTCGGGCGTAAAACTAAGTATGAAGAACGAAAATATGGTGGCGATAATCCATTCCGATATGGTGCTTATTACGTGGTAATACCAGCCACCGTCCGACGGATACCTGCAAAGCGAATTGATTGTTTAATTCTATTGCCTGGCTAAGATGTCAAGAGTCGGTCTTACCACTTCCGCGGATTCTGTCCATTGAACAGGATGTGGGACATGACGCCAGTCACAGCGAGCATAATGAACAGGATCGTGCAGCAGACGGACATGCCCAGACGCAAGTGAGCCGTTTTCCTTGTGCCGGCCATGGGATAAATGGTGTACGTCATCAATGCCTGCATCCAAAAGTACAAAGTGCCGCAACCAAAACAACAGAAGGCGCCAATGAAGTGCATAATCCGTACATTAGTTTCTTGAAAGTTGCCCACAACGCTTATGCCCAGGCAGGACAGCATGCCGAACCACAAAGCCAGACGATTGTGTCGCACTAAAGTGGCGTCCAGTTCCGGATGATGCTCATACAATTGCAATATATGGCGATATCGCACATAGATAGTAAGTCCCACTTGAAATGAAAAACGATCGTTGAAAGGTAGGTAGGGGTAGAGAAAAACAGACAGACAGAGAACGGGAGAGCGAGAGAGACAGAGAGAGAGAGATAAAGAAAGTGAGGGGAAAGTAGGGTACACGGCAGGGTGCAATAAATCAACAATTCATGACTCATTCGTTACACGCGAGATATGAATTATTTTGAAATCTGGCGTAACTCACATAGAACACTGCCAATGTTAATTAATTGCCCGAATATACAGCTCTCCGGTGAATAGGTGGCTGCATCGCTTATGTAGGGCACTGTGGGCACCACATGTCCCTCCAGGACGGCCACAATGTAACTGCGCCAAATGCAAAGAACAATAACATATAAGGGTATTTTTTCGCAATTAGAACATACAGCATTAGCGACTTACGTGCCCAAAAAAGTCACTTGAAAAATGAGAAAGGTAGCAACTGGCAGTAAGTACACATTTGACATAGTGCCAGCAACAAGCTACACGGCAAATAATAAATTCAATTCAATATTTTTATTGCGCAGAACGAATTTCGTACACAAAGTAAATCGCGGTGTTTGTGGGTGATTGCAACGGCAGTGGTGCAGCCCTGCCAACTTGTTCGAGTAAAAACGAAACGTACGACATCTGGCAACGACAATCGATACAATTCGAACAGTCCATCACAGACTCAAGTGACATTTGAAATTAAAATCCAAATAGGTAACATATTTATCACAAGCAAAACATTTAAGAAACTGGTAAAAATCGGTATGTACGTGCTAATACCTAATTCGAAATAAAATATTGAATTCGTTGTGCGACTGCAGGTAACCGGGCATGAGTTGTTTTGTGGAAATCGACGGCTCCTATTTGGAAGGCGGCGGACAGGCTCTACGTAATGCATTAGCCTTAAGTGTTATACTTAATCGCCCAGTGCGTGTGATCAAAATACGTGCCAATCGCCCCAAGCCGGGTCTATCACATCAACATCTCCATGGCGTCAATTTGCTGCGGGACATCTCCAATGCTGAGGTGAAGGGTAATGTGCTGCACTCCACCGAGCTGACATTCACACCGCACACAATCATTGGCTCTATGTACAAGGTGGACACACGAACCGCTGCGAGCATTACGCTTGTTTACCAGATGGTAATGCCGGTGCTGTTGTTCGCTGGCACCACATCACGGATTGATGTGATGGGCGGGACAAATGTCTCGTATTCTCCGCAGGTGGAATATATGCAGCAAGTGCTGTTGCCCAATTTGAAGCGTTTTGGCGTTAATTTCGATCTGAAGGTGTTGCACTATGGATTTTATCCACGTGGCAATGGACGCTGCGTACTCGAAGTGGCACCGGTGCGTTCCCTAAATGCTGTTCAAATAAATGACTTCGGCCAGTTCCGTGCCGTCAGGGGCTCTGCCTACTATTCCGGCCGGCTGCCCAAGTGCATTGCCTTCGATATGCAGCATTCGGCTGAACGTGAAATACATCGCTTGTGGCCGGACCATGAGTGCACCATACATGTGTTCAAGCATCCACCAGACAAAGTCCGTGACAATGGAGCTGGCATCATATTGACTGCAGTGACCAGCACTGGCTGCATCATGGGTGTAGCCACAGTGGGTGAGAAGAATATTGATGGGCACATGATTGGATCCAATTCCTCTTGCGAATTGGCTGGCTACATAAAGAATGACATATGTGTGGACGCTCACATGCAGGATCAGCTAATCATCTATATGGCATTGGCCAAGGGCTGTTCAAGTATTCGTTCTGGGGCTCTAACCAAGCACACACGGACCGCTATCTATGTGGCCGAGCTAATGGCTGGGGTCAAATTCAATATTGAATATAAGAATCTCGGACTGACGCTGATCTCATGCGAAGGCATAGGGCACTGCAATGCATATATGTAACATGTCTATACACACAAATACGCACCAAAACATACATACATAAACACACACGCACACACACACACACACACACACAGAGATCAAATTTTGTCTGTTGCATACTTAAATTATTTACGTTAAAATATATATGTATGTATATATTTGTCAAATTAAATGCGACGGAATATAGCCAAGAAATGTTCGCCCTTATTTCGCACAACCTTAGCGCCCTCCTCACTGCTCTGATAAAGCTTGGGCGTTATAGGATCCGCATTCTACAAATATATATCAATTAGATTCCAGTTTGTATCCAATGTGTTAAAAACGCTTACGGCTTCCTCGTCGCTTAATCGTTCAAACAATGGATGCTGGGTCATATGCGAGACTATCCATGTGTGCAAATCCTCCACATCCGTCATTGTATAAACGAGACCCTACGAATGGAACAGAGCTTAGTCAGAGGTATGAGATCGGTGTGATCGGTAATTACTTACCCCTTTTCTGAGCACATAGGCATATTCGGAGAGCAGAGCCTGATTGATGATGCGCCACTTGTGCTTGGCGCGCTTGAAATGCGGATCGGGATAGAGGAAAAACATCTTCTCGAGTTGACTTTTTTGAAAATAATTAGGTAAATATTTCATCGCATTGGTGCGTATGCAAGCAATATTTTGGTACGTAGTCGCTTCGTTAGCATTCTTCAGCCTTAGCGCTGCAATGCGGTCGATCACATAGTCAGAGACCTTCACTCGAATCTCCATGCCGATAGCCAGCTTTTCGGGAAACATTTCGCCGAGAGTTACGAGAAAGCCTCCATAGCCGCAGCCAATGTCAGCAAATTGCACTTGTTGATCATCGCCCATGCTCGGATATAACGAGCGCCAGTCCACATCTTCAGGCCGGGCGGGACTGTAACAAAAAGTACAAAAATTAGTTGAGTCAAACATCCAAACAAACATCACAAACGAAATGTTTACTAATTAAAACTGTGATCCGCAATGGGATTTGAATGTGCGCGCTGGCGGTAGAAGCGCTTCTGTGGCAGTCCAGTTACCGCAGACGCCCCGGTCAGCGTTTCGCTCTCCTTACTATTAGCCACCATTTGGTAAAATTCTAATAATATTTATACAAAAAATTATATCAACAATTGGTTTGGTGGCTAATGTGCTCGGCACATGCATGCCTATCGATGCTATTTAAAGCATCGATAAAATTTTCAACACTAAGTTGACAGCCCTGGAGGTAAGCTGCCATTGTGACCTTATCGATTGTTTTGCAGCACCAGTTGCCATCCCTAGCGCATTGTGTATGCATTACGCATTTGCGAAATTTACCAGCAATAAGTTTTTAAAAATCAAATTTTACTACAATTGGAATCGGGGTGCTTGTGCTCATACCCTTACCAATAGCAGACGACAAACGCGCCCCACCTGAGATAACGTGGCCATGTACGCCACCAATAATGGCAGCGTAAATAAGGCGCCAAATAGGTAAGTCTCGGATCTCCGTGTGCCTCTGTACAGTGTGTACAATTTAATCGTGTTTCGTGTTTTTTTTTTTTTTTGTGTGTGTGACTTATTGTGTTTTTTGCGTGGCTTAATTTGTTTTGTTTTTTCTATGCAGTAATGCCACAACCATGTTTGACAACACCATTACTGTCACGCCGATCAAAGTGGAACTCAATGACACTTTGACCAAGGCAGCCGCCACAACCACAACGCCGGCCCTTCGGCGACCAAACGCTGTAATTGTCACGTCACAGCAGCTGACAATGCCAATGCAAACGGGCTTATCCGTAACGAATAACAGCGTTGCTGGAGCTAACGCAGGCTATGCGACAGGCATTAGTGTGACGTCAACGACACCGACGACGGCGCCAGCAACAAAAGAGAAACCGACTAAAGCGACGCGCGCCCAAATCGTACGCAAGCCTCCGCCAACGATTGACAACTTTTGGCCCAACATCTTGACGGAGGTGAATAGCATTGGCCAGGTGGATGCCAAACATCAGGTGCTGCCCTTGGCGCGCATCAAGAAGATCATGAAACTGGATGAGAATGCCAAAATGATAGCGGGAGAGGCGCCGTTGCTGTTCGCCAAGGCATGCGAATATTTTATACAGGAGCTAACCATGCGCGCTTGGGTGCACACCGAGGAGAGTCGTCGCCGTACGCTGCAGCGCTCGGACATCGCACAAGCGATTGCCAATTATGATCAATTTGATTTCCTTATCGACATCGTGCCGCGGGAGGAGATCAAACCGTCAACCACACAGAAAACCAAAGAGCAAACCAGCTCGAATGTATCAACGGCGGCAGCAGCAGCAGCTGCGGCCGCTGCAGCTGCGACTGCCAGCGCATCTGTTGTCAGCAACAACAATGTCAACGCGAGCTTTACCACCAGCAACGTTGTGGGTGGCGCCAATGTACCTGCGGCTGCTGCGGCGGCTGCTGCTGCCGCTGGCCTTAAACTGGATCCCAGCGCAGCCGAAGTGCTTGGCTTTAGCACTGTGACTCCGGATCTATTTGCGGCGGCAGCAGCGGCGGCCAATAGCAACCAGCAGCTGCAACAACTGCAAGCACAACAGCATCAGCCGCAGCAGGTGCAGATCATACAGCAGGGCGGTGGGGCGCAGCAGCTGCAGTATTTCATTGCGCTGCCTGGACAGCAGCCGGCGCAGCTAGTGCAGCAACTTCAACAGCAACAGCACCAGCAGCAGCAACACCAACAACACCATCAGAACAGTCTCGGCTTGAACATTGTTGCCCAGCAGCCGACACAACAGCTAATACTCACAGCCGGGCCCAATGGGCAGCTAACGGCGACGCCGGCGCCAGCAACCGCGGCACAGCAGCAGACGGCGCTGCTGCAGAACCTGGCACAGCAACAGCAACAACARCAGCAACAGCAGCAGCAGCAAATACAACTGTTGCAGCAGGTGGTGACGCCCACCGGCGAGCTGACCAATGTTCCGGTAAGTATTTCGAGAAGATTCCCAGCTCCCATATGATTGCAATTGCTAAATGTTTGCTCAACAGATCGCCATAAATGCCAATCAGCTGCAATTGCTGCGATTGCAGATGCAGCAACAACAACAGCAGCAGCAACAACAGCAGCAGGTTGCCGCTGTACAAGCGGCAGCAGCAGCGGCGGCCGCGGCACAGCAGCAACAGCAACAGCAGCACAATCCACAGCAGCAGGTGATAATTCCCACCCAGTTGCTAACGGCACAGCAGATCTTGCAGTTGGGCGGAACGCCCACAAATGCAACGACTATAACACAGCAGCAGCTGCAACAGCAACAGCAGCAACAACAGCAGCAGCAGCAGCAACAGCAGCAACATCATCACCAGCAGCAGCAACAGATACACATCACCAGCACCAATCCCAATATCGGCGGCAATAACACTGCCGGCAACAACAGCACCAATAACAATAACAACAGCGGCAATAGCAATAACAACAACAGCGCAGCATCAATATTCATAAATGCAACGGCGTCGAACGCCCAATTAGCAACGCAGGCGCAAGCGCAGGGTCTGAACGCATTAACCAACGATCGGACACTGAGCACCGGCTTTCGGTAAAACCCAACAAACGGGAGAGAGACGGAGAGACAAATTGAGAGAAAGAGAGAGAGAGAGAGAGATAGAGAAAGCAAAAGCCCAAAAGAAACGAATACATGGAACAGCAAACAGCAAAGGCAACGACAACAACCGAAAACCCATAAGAGCAACCACCTTATTACTAAGCTTAAGTTAATAATTTAGTTTAGGTTGATATATGTTTAGCATTGAATTGAAGTCGATGGCTCATCATATCGAAGCATCGGGAGGCAAGTCTGTTTATAGATTATTTTGGGCTGGCATTTCGATTGCGGCCCATTCATAGCCATTCAGCCATTCAGTTTCGCACTAATGTGTATACATATGTATAGAGGAGAGTCGGATTAGCTAGCTGCTAAGTAAATATGTAATTAATTAAGCGTTTGTATAAATACCACATAAATATGGATGATGAGCTAAGAGATGTCATACAATTTTTGTAGCATTACATAATGTATTTTAGTCCTTAGGCAGCAAAGTGAAGCCAAAAATGTGAAGGAAAACAGTTGAGCCAAGGCCAGGGAAATGGCTCTCTATATCGATAAAAATGTAAATTAGAATTGAAATTGGAATTGGTGTCCAGCTTAATGTACATATCATAATGTATTTCATAATTGCTATATCCGATCCGATATATAGTTACAAATTTCATGTTGCCAATTGTATTCTTAAGTTTCACATAGTCTATGTGTGTGTGTGTGAGTGCGCGCGTGATTGTATGCCTGTGTGTGAGTGTGTGGTTGTGTGTATGCTTATATAAATTACGAATATCTAAAATTTATTGAACAGATTGTAAACTGACATAGGCTCAATTGACCTTTCCCTGGCTTTGCAACTGCTCTGCAAACACGACGCTGAGCTGCAGGTTTCACATTCTATTTTAACAATACGTAACAATAGAAAACACAATCCCCCTCAACGTATATATATATATAAATTATATATGGTATATTGTATTTGTATAGTTAAATATTTGTATTTAATGAAAGTAAATTTGCAAAACACAACTCATTTGAAAGCATTCACAAAATTGTCTCTCATATTCTTTTTGTATTAATTATTTCACTTTTTTTATAGACTACAACATACTCCGCTAAAGCTTGTTTGTGACTCAATTCTTTCTGGCCAATATTTTGTTAATATCCTGTAATTCACGCGTGCTCCAAGGCTCGAGAGGATCGGGCGGCGATTGAGCTTTGCGCGTCGCGGCTGCGGAGCGACCCCGAGTGTGCTTGCTCTCCACTTCCGCTTCGCTCTCCTCCGGAGATACTCTGCAAAGCGGATGGATATATGAGTATATACATAAATGTATATCAGCGAATATATATAGAGATATCAGGATATGTATAGAGTTGATACGACAACAAGTTTGGACTCTGTTAATCCTATGGGGACTCAGTTTCTGATCAAATGGATAGAGATGCCATCTTCTATTGAATTATTTATTATAGTTGATGTCTTATGGAAACTCTATATGGAACTATATGAAAACTCTTAGCTAATATATATTGACCTGGTACTATATGAAAACTCTTGAGCTAATATATAATCCTTATTCAGTTTCCGACCCATCTTTTAGTGATGTTTTACCTTTTATATTATAATTGATTTCAGCTTACTTTTATACATCTCATCTTCTACTGATGTCGCATCTCTTATATCATAATTGATATATGGAAAGCTCTTAACTAATATATAGTCCTTATTCAGTTTGTGACATATTTGATAGGGATCCCATTTTCTACTCATGTCTTATATCTTACATTATAGTTGATTTCAGCTTACTTTTATACATCTCATCTTCTACGAATGCTTCATCTCTAATATAATTGATATGTGACCCATTCGATATGGGTTCCATCTTCTACTGATGTATTATCTCTTATATTCTGTCGACTGTCTTATCTCTCATATTATTAATTGATATATGGAAAGCTCTAAGCTGGCTAGCAGCTTGTCTATAGTCCACCTGTACAGTAGACACCCGTTTGGTTCAACTCACTTGTTTCGGCGTCGAATCCGTGCGCTTTTGGCTCGACGCGCTGCCTCGTCCTGGCTGGGCTGGCACTTGCGCAGATGGAACTGCTTCATTGTGGCATGCACCTCGTCGGCTGTGGGCAGATCATCGCTATCCACTTCGCCGTTGCCATCCTCGGTTTCCGCCTCTGCCTCCTGTTCGATGGTCAAGATTTCCTCGGCCACGGCCTCATCAAAGTTAAAGTCCTGCAATGGAAACACAATGCGTATCAGCTGTGCTCCCCCTGGCTCACTCACTTACCGGCAGCGTCTCCATGTCTGGCATTTGTTGATTCCACACCGAGGTCATCGAAGTCTTTCCATTGTGGTTGGGTGATCGTTTAATGTCCGCCTTGGAGAGCGCGTTGTGGGTGCGCTTGGCCAGCGATAGCTTGCCCAGGATGGGGCCACCGCTGTCGCTCTCCTCCGTCTCCACCTCGGCGAGCATGTTCATGAACTCCTCCAGCTTCTTGGGGTCCACAATGTCCTTGGGATCCTGGAACAGAT